ATATTTCGTCGTCAGTAAAGATAAGAAACGGCACGTTTCGCGCGTTAGGGCCGCAGCCATTCCTGTACATTAGCCGGCAAACAATGACAGAACTTAGCGTTGAAATTGGATGGCTTTAATCGAGTGGAATGTCTGGGGACAATCTTAAGTTATCGTGTTTCGTCGTTGCTTTGACGTAACTAATTAAGTGAATCGTGTTGGCTCACCGTAGGATGGCGCACCCCCCGTTTCTCGAGCGCGTAATCTACAACTCTTTACTCCGTTCTTCATATTTCAACTGTAACACGGAAAGCGCGAGATCGAATGAAATAACGAATCGCGCCTTAAATTATAAATTATAAGTGTAAAGTTATACTGCAACTTTTAGTTATTCGTATAATTTAAAGGAAATGTGTACGAAGTAGATTTGTATGAACAGGGGAAGGTAGGGGAGAAAAAGGGCAGAGAAATAGGAAACAAGTAAAACGATAATTCTTGCTAAAATCAATGAAACTAAGGAAAGTAGGTTACTGTGGCTCATTAAATATCGTTTGTAAGCCCGCATTGGCAAGCTGTACAGAGTGAGTATAATACGGCGCCAGGTAGAACAAAATCGCTTAAGTAAAAGTTACACAGCTTGATGAGAGCTTTCAAGGCACGTAGAACTTTACTTTCCCTTCTATTTACATTTTTAACTTGCTGGCCGACCCGGCGGACTACGCCGTGGCCTTTTAACTCCGGCTCTCTAAGATAAAGATCCTCTCGTGCCGTCAAAACGGAATAAAATTTGGTTTTATCCCCGGTTCTTACCTCTTCGTTCGCTGCAGCAAAAATTTTTTTCCCAATTTTTTGCCATTGTAAAATTTATTCCACCGGGGATTCGTCTAGAGTTATTTTTACAATGTAAAGGAGAAGATATCCAATCTCGTAATGTAACTTAAAAACTTTTATTAATCGTCGGTCATTTATATCGTACGTGTATTTCGATAAGTTTAACAATCTCGGCAGTTTTAAGTGTGATATGATTTTATTAATCTTAACTTCAATATGCATCGAAATTGAAATACAATAAAGTAAGACGATATTTAAAAATCGATGATAATTTAAAGAGTGGAGGTAAGACTGTAACTTTTTTCAAAGAAATGTTGAAACTTTGTTTTACACGAATACAATAGGAAGTTTTCTTTATTGTCTTCTCTGTTAATTTTTGTAAAGCGTGTTTTCTTCTTCTTCTTCTTCGAGAGAGAGAACAGTATTTCAGCTGTTTTTACTCGTAAACATCGCGCACCCGATAACAACTAATAAATTTCTGGCCGAGTTTAACGGTGGCAATCATCAATAGCGAAGTCATTGTCAATCAGTTAATAACGTCGTACGTAGTATTTAGTAAGTTCGGTGACTGTTCCCTCTCGCCTCCGAACTAGGTAGAAAGCTGTCGATGCAAAAGCAATTATCGAACAGCTGTCACGACATCAATACCTACCGCGTGAACTATTTTAAAGTCAAACTTTTAAGTTCGTAAAGGGAAATTGTTGATCCTCGTATCGAGTTCTTATCACTGGCAAACTTCGCAAACTAACTTAAGCGATGAAATTTGTTAGAATCTTAACTACTATTATGCTAACTACAATAATTTCTTTTATTGTAACTGTTGTACGTTAGTCTTTAATGTAATATTGTATCATGCCTCCGGTGAAATGAAGTTGCAACTGTTGCCTTTCCAGCAATTAAATGGATAAGAGGAATTAACGACCTATTAAATTAAAAATTATAGCTCAAGTGGCGATAAGTTCATTTTTTTCGCTAATTGAAGAGAAAATGACACTTGTGATTGTTTCAAGTCATAAATGGCGGGTTTTTTTTTTAAATGAAAACCTTCATTTTGTCGCAGTGACGTAAGATATCGAGCGTGTATACACGAGTATCGTGTTTCTCGAATAAACAAGCGCGATAAGAACATTTGCAGACTTAGCCAATTTGAAGAGCGGAATATCTCGCAGCTGATCTCTCACGAATGCAAAGTGTCCTCCGCTGGTCTCTACGCAAACTTTGAGGCACGATTAATAGCCGCTGTTAGTGATTGATGTTGACATTAGTACCAGGGCTGCGAGCGATATGACTATTTCGTTAGGGCGCCGCTCCGCCAATGATCGATCCACAGTCAATATACTAACACTAGCAGCACGAGCCATCGAACGTCGATTAGGTGGCAACCGTTCCCTCGAATTTTAGTTGACTCGCACTGTGGCAGAGATCGGGGCTTCTGCTTTACGAGCTTAACGCCGCGCGATGCTTTATTGCCCCTAAGCGTCCTTGTCCGGCGCGTTTTAGTAGCGGATTTACACCCAGGTTTTCTATCGCCGCGGATTTATGCCGCGCACGTTTGATTATTTCGTAATGAAGTGCCGAGCCTCTCTTTTCCCGAAGTTGCGATTAGTTGATACAGAACGATGTGTGCGCACGAATAATTATCCCGCCGAACAGAATCTTGCAAATCCTGTTTAAAGAAATATTTTATCCGTGCATATCTATTATTTATTTATTAAGCCGCTAAAGCGACTGCTGTATGATCGAGAAATCAACATTTTGCCGTCGTTCTTTTTGCTGGATAAAATTAGCTGAATATTTAATATTAATTTCTTAATCTTTCTGAATTAACTAAATATGAGTTGGTATGAAAATATTACATAATGCTCTGCGTGTACATTATAAAACGTACGTTAATTTATCGAGTGAGCATTTTGCATAACGGATATGAAGGAGGGACGAACACTTCAGTATTATTCTTTTTTATTTTTCGTAATTATCCTCTTTTAATAATTCCTTGAGAGATTATCGGAAGATTATATACATATATATATATTATATATATATATATAAAATATATTATTCGATTATTATTGAAGATGTTTTCTCTCACATAGCATGCTGTTTATTTTCTCTTCAATATTTGTCGAGCAAAAAAACGGAAACAAAATCTCTGTGCACTGCACGCATCATCGAATTCGTGGCCTCGAATTTACACGTAACACATTAACACGTAACATATTAACACGTGTACATTGCAGCTATCGTAAAGTGTCGATGCCTCGCGACGTGTGAACCCGT